AAACTCAAACTACTCCCCTTATTCTTTATCCAATTCTTTCATATCAGGCTAAAACTACTTCCCCTATCCTTTATCCGGTTCTTGAGTATCAGGCTCAAACTACTCCCCCTATTCTATATCCAATTCTTTCATATCAGGCTCAAACTACTCCCCTTATCCTGTATCCGATTCTTTAATATCATGCTCAAACTACTCCCCTTATTCTATATCCGATTCTTTCATATCAGGCTCAAACTATTCCCCTTATTCTATATCCCATTCTTTCATATCGGGCTAAAACTACTCCCCCTATCCTATATCCGATTCATTAATATCAGGCTCAAACTACTCCCCTTATTCTATATCCAATTCTCAAATATCAGGCTCAAACTACTCCCCCTATTCTTTATCCAATTCTTTCATATAAGGCTCAAACTACTCCCCTTGTTCTATGTCCGATTCATGAGAATCATTCTCAAACTAGTCCCCCTATCCTATATCCAATTCTTTCATATCAGGCTCAAACTACTCCTATTCTATATCCAATTCTTTCATATCAGGCTCAAACTATTCCCCCTATCCTATATCCGATTCTTTATATCATGCTCGAACTACTCTCCTTATTCTATATCCGATTCATAAGCATCAGGCTCAAACTACTCCCCTATTCTATATCCAATTCTTTCATATCAGGCTGAAACTTCTTCCCCTATCCTATATCCAATTCTTTCATATTAGGCTCAAACTACTTCCCCTATCCTATATCCGATTCTTTAATATCAGACTCAAACTACTCCCTATATTCTATATCCAATTCTTTCATATCAGGCTCAAACTACTTCCCCTATCCTATATCCGATTCTTTAATATCAGACTCAAACTACTCCCCTTATTCTATATCCAATTATTTCATATCAGGCTCAAACTACTTCCCCTATCCTATATCCGATTCTTTAATATCAGACTCAAACTACTCCCCTTATTCTATATCCAATTCTTTCATATCAGGCTCAAACTACTTCCCCTATCCTATATCCGATTCTTTAATATCAGACTCAAACTACTCCCTATATTCTATATCCAATTCTTTCATATCAGGCTAAAACTACTCCCCCTATCCTATATCCGATTATTTAATATCATCCTCGAACTACTCCCCTTATTATATATCCGATTCATAAGCATCAGGCTCAAACTACTCCCCCTATTCTATAGCCAATTCTTTCATATCAGGCTCAAACTACTCCCCTTATCCTATATCCGATTCTTTAATATCATGCTCGAACTACTCCCCTTATTCTATATCCGATTCATAAGCATCAGGCTCAAACTATTCCCCCTATTCTATAGCCAATTCTTTCATATCAGGCTCAAACTACTCCCCTTATCCTATATCCGATTCTTTAATATCATGCTCGAACAACTCCCCTTATTCTATATCCGATTCATAAGCATCAGGCTCAAACTATTCCCCCTATTCTATATCCAATTCTTTCATATCAGGCTCAAACTACTCCCCTTATCCTGTATCCAATTCTTTCATATCAGGCTCAAACTACTCCCCTTATTCTATATCCGATTCTTTCATATCAGGCTCATACTACTCCCCTTATTCTATATCCCATTCTTTCATATCAGGCCGAAACTACTTCCCTTGTTCCATGTCCAATTCTTTTAAAATCATAGATACGCATTTGTTATTTTCTACCTCTTCCGGTCAGGTAAAACAAATTTCCTAGATATTTGGTACATTTTGATTCACGATCAACAAATACAAACGTTGTACAGCTTATTATAAAATTCATCTGGGAGTCGTTTGAGCCTAAGGGGAGTCATCTGGGAGTCGTTTGAGCCTAAGGGGAGTCATCTGAGCCTAGGCTCAAATAACTCTAGAGTCGTCTGAGCCTGGGGAGTCATTTGAGCCTCCTGCACAGGCCGTCAGTAAGAGGTCAAAATAAGGATACTATCTCGATGTTTATATCATTCTATACATGAACGTTGAAATGCTATATCATATATCCGCCTCCTATAACTGAACTGAACTTTTATTTACACACAGAGGCAAAAAGATATTTCACAACATAATACGTATACATATAAATATAGAATTTGTCCAAACATCCTTGTCGAGCATGTATGAATGTCACAGAATTTGAACAGGTTTCTCAATGTTCCTAATAGTGGATTATTGAAAAGTAAAATTTGATACATAGTGGGTTCAATGTAGTAGAACCTGTGTAAAATGTGTTTTCTTTCTTTTTATATATAATTGAATTATAACCTATGTCAGATAAGTCTATAAAGTGTACATTTTTTTCGTTTAAAGCTCCATCTCCCAGTTTCGACAGGTAGATTATGGTTACAAGTTCTGACCTAAGTAAGACTCGCCAAACGTTTGCTTGCAGTACTTTTAAGTGATATTCAAAATTTAGACAGTCAATCATCTGTTTATGACACCACACATTGTGCCTTTAGTAGACTTATCTCTTGCACTTATCACACACTGATCACACTGATCACAAATTGTGCCTTTAGAAGACTTATCTCTTGTACTTATCACACATTGATCACACATTGTGCCTTTAGAAGACTTATCTCTCGCACTTATCTCACACTGATCACACACTGTAGATTAATGTCATTTAAATTTTCAAGCATGGAATAAATGTTTAAGATAAGTAAGATTTTTTTAAACTTTGTGAAAACTAGATGTAACTAATCAATTTCCTAATATGTCGTCATTAAATAATGACTTATATTCGAGAAAGGATAATTTAGATGATTTCCCGGACAGTAAGAGAAGAACTGGTATAATTATACTGTCAAAAGGCTGCTGTTGACATTTAAGTGATAAATTTAATTTCCGTCCTTAGCAAAAAAAAGAATATATCTTCCTTTGCTTGTCCTATTAACTCTTTTTTTGTTTATGTGAATTTTGAATTTATTTCAAAGGTAACAAGATAGTATGCATTGCCAACAAACGACCTGCGGATCGTGACTTGCGACTAACGCCGCATTGCTGGCCGCGGGACATTTAAGCCAACAATAAACAATGCTTGGATATACAATAAACAGCCCTTGTGTAGGTAAACAATGTCTCACAGGGAGTGTTGCTATTCCTGTGATGGGTCTTCATATGTACATGTCAAAAAAGATCACGCAGTTTTTAAAATACTTGTAATCTGTATACGCATGAGATGTTTCTTCCATGAAAACGTGACATTTATCACCTATATATATAACTCACTTTCGTTCTTCCTGTTTCATCTGCCGGCTCTCCGTTTGAGTGATAAATTCCAGTTTTAATGAAAAAACACTGTTGTCTCAACAACAAAAAATCATTCCGAAAAAGGGACATTCACGTTATCATACATGTATCACCTCAAGTAAAACATTGTTTAGAAAACTGGAATTATTTTCTGATCAGTGTTCAGAAAACACACCCAAAATCATGTATTCTATAAAGTAACCGACCTACCCCTTATCAGGCGTTTAACGAAGCGGACATAATCTGGAATGCCACCTAAATGGAGCCGTCCCATCCGTCCGAGATTATTTAATATTGAGAAGAAGAAAATTTATTTGTTGAAATGTCACCTGCTGTTCTAACACAATTATAGTTACTTCAGGTTACTTTGTAGTGGGTAGACAGTACACGGCCTATGGGACATCAATTGTCATTAAAAGATAATATAAATAATTATTATATAAATATTTTACAAACAGTTAACATCATATAACACAACATTTAACTCAATTAACATACAATCATACATGTATATTTCTTTCACGCATGTTTCTGACATTAAATCAGTGAAATACACCCACCAGACTATACATAACACACAAGTCAGGATTACCCTATCATAGTTCCATCAATACAGACTACATACGCAGCACGCGAAACATTAGTTTCATGCGTGACACATTCCTTACTTTGGTAGCGGGCTGAGGATTTGCTACCTTATGGCTGCCGTCTACCCAAAAGACAGTCACACAATCGGCAAATCATTGAGGGGGATTCATTAAGGACATCAAGCAGCAGATTTTCAATGCCAGCTACAGGAACAGAAGGCAATGCTGCTGCTCTTCCCACTAGCAAATTGATTCTATTATCTTGACGAAAGTCAGCATGGAGTCTGTGGGTGGTGTTAGGGCAGTGTTCATATTGGCAGACTGCAGCTGCAGAGTTTTATCAAATGTAACTTTTGTTTTTTTAATCTTGTCGGTAAACAGTCCAAGACACATATTGAAGGTGCCATCACAGAGACGCCTGTCTGTCTGCAGGCAGGTAGGTAGGTAGGTAGGTGCGAAAATACACGGGCAAGAGAAAGCAAATGCACAGCTGACCGTGTTCTTTATGTCATATTTTTTTTCAGTAACTGTCAGTGTCGTCAAATCGCACGCAAACTGAAGTGCAATGTATGTCAGTTCTGTGCCCATGTTACTCCCATACGTTCAGACAATGTCCTCACATGCTCCCAACATCTGCGCATATGTACCAGGACAAACATATGATGGTCTGAAGCATGACGCTGATATGTCATCTCCTTGTTCCCAAGTATGTCGAGTGACGTGATGATGGATAGCGCTCATATATATACCTCGCTGTCACGCTGCAATGTCATCAACATGAAACATACGCTTGAACATACTACACACCCACCCTTGTTGTATAGGGATTAAGGGGGAAAAGGAATATTATAGAGTTAGATGGTAGGAACAGCTACTATCTTATTTTACTTAATTTTAGCAAGAAGATATCCCGGAACAGATGTTATTAATACTAACCTATCTTATTTCGTTTTATATCAAGTTTATCCTTTTCAAAATATAAACCCGAAAAAATATCAGTTTAATTCCTTTTCCACATCCAAACATGTCACTGGTCTTCAGTTTAGTATATAGCATGCAAGGGCAACAGGGGAAAGGGTGATCGCTCATCTTATAAATTCATGGTTAAATAACTGTGTTAGTTCTAAGAAACTATTTATCGTTATGGCAAGGCCTAATTGACTTACCTGATTAGGTTTACCTCTTAATGATATTCTCCAGGACTGCAATGTACCTGAAAATGGGACATTTTTCGATTTCTTGGTTTTGTGTCTCTTGTCTTTAGATTTGTACACATACATTAACAAGCTGTATAATGTGTGTCCCAGATCCACACGAATAAAAGAACACAGTAGCGACATGCAAAGAAACACGCGTCCCTTAACAGGAACAGACGGTCACTACACACATGGACACCTTGATTGTTTCGTTGTTACGCTATTTTTATATTGTTACCCTAGTCAGACTTTAGGTATAGCGTTAGCTCTTCACGCCGAAGACCCAAGTTCGATTCCTCACTCACTCACTCACTCATGGGTTGATTAATGTTAAAAAGCTGCTTCATTGCACTTATCTTCATGTAGATGTAAAACGTTCACACAAGACACCACGGAAGCCTTATAAAGCTACCAACACCTGCCCACATATCAAAATAACGGACATACTTAAAAATAGGTTTGACACCGCTAATATTGACATATTTGATCGTTAGATATCACGTTTACAACATTTACGCAGATATTCGTCCATCAGTGCGAGTCCTTTAAGTGTGCCAATGACGCATTTACAATCAGCCAAATGTCTTTTGTTTCTTTTGACCTGTATACATGTACGTCATTGTGATGTAGTTCTCGTGTACAGAGCATGGTAATTTCACACTGCTACAATCTGACCATATATTTTCAATAGTGTACACGTATAGAGCTGATGCAGTGTTTGATTTATATGAAACTGTGATTGTTCGCATAATTCCTTAGTAAATGGGGTCAGCAACACGACACAACCGAGTTCGTCGCAAACAGGAAAAACTAGTTTTCCTAACTTAATCCCAGAGCTCAACGTTGTCCATCAAACCTTGCCTGTCCAGTATAAGTCGTGGAACATGCAAATAATCTGTATTCGTGATATATAGGCACGTACTGGACAAGGGTGACACTGCTGGGCATTTGGTTAAGGAATGCTATCATGCAAATTGGGAGTACCGTATTCGACATAAAAAGCGCTCAGGGCGCTCACAAAATTAGAAATAGGGGGCTCCTTTTAGAATATTATTTTGGTGAAAAACAACAGGGTTAAAAGATCGTAAATTTCGTGGTTTATGCTGACAGCCTGAAATGTGTATATACGACAGATGTGGTTTTTCAGAATCTAATTTCCCATATTTAAGGACACACGTATTATACACGAATAAATAAGGCTTGTGTACATTGATCAATCGGAAGGGGTGCTAATTGGGATTGTTCACTAGCCAATATATTAGCAAATATCGCTGTGGGCGCTTATTACATCGAATACGGTAGTTGTTATTTATTTAGTGTTCTAAATATTTGCCGGGGACGCTGTATATGAAGACATTATGTCACGTTTGTTTTGATGTATAAGCTAGCAGCAAGACACTTTAAACGAAAGACAGACAGTTTATTCAGTGTGTGTAAGGCCATATGACCCTTGGTACAATTCAGTTTAAACAAGTACATGAAAATAAAACGTGATCTTGAACAGAACATAATATAGATATAGAATCTATAGATATATACATTTTACTACAGTTAAATATTTTTTCTCGTTGTAACAATGATTTGATCCTACCGTAATACTTGACAAAATGGGAGGAAGAAATTTGTTGGTGTCAGTTTTGGATGAAATATATATAATTGTCTTTGTTTAAATGTATAACACGACCCATTTTAATTCTGGAAACCCAAAAGTCCAGAAACTCTACGGTCCTTTCCCAGTTTCGGTTAAAGGTATTTACAAAAATAAGCGTGCTGTTTTCGTGGGAACATACAATGGAAGTAAACAATTTTTTTAAAAATTCAAAAACTCAATATTTACACCATCTCGCCCATGGGCGAGAACATTTTCCTTTACTCAAAACTCATGTTTTTGTTTCGCAAATACTTAACTTGTATTCCATCAAGTATCATACACAAAATTTAACTCATTTTAACTTAATTCAACGATTTTATAGCGATATTGAAATAGTTCGCCCATGGGCGAGAAAAAGGTTTGGCCCATGGGCGAGAATATTTTCCTTTACACAAAACTCATGTTTTTGTTTCGCAAATACTTAACTTGTATTCCATCAAGTATCATACACAAAATTTAACTCATTTTAACTTAATTCAACGATTTTATAGCGATATTGAAATATTTCGCCCATGGGCGAGAAAAAGGCTTGGCCCATGGGCGAGCATATTTTATTTTGCTCAACAGTTTTAGTTTCGCAAATACATTAAGGGATTATAAGCATGACACATGATTCAACTCATTTTAACTTAATTCAAATAATTTTTGGCGTTATCAAAATATTTCGCCCATGTTTTCGTCAGTCCCTTTAAAGAATTAACTAATTGTTTACAAAGTATATTGTATTATGTGAAACACACTTTGTATTATATCATTACATTACTATTTTAAAAGGGTCTTTGGTTTGATGTTTCCTTTGCAGAAGTTTTACAAATTTCACCTTTTTTACATATTGCAACGATCTTTAATGAACTCGGCCTTATCTCTCAAAACGTTTTGACAGTTTATCATACAAATTCATGCGCGTGTACACCAATTCATTGGCGTTATTTTTCAACGAATTAAAGTTTAGTTTGTTTCTTTTTCACTTTCCATTTTATGTCTCGTTAATACATCACACTGGGAAATTAAGTGACAATAGATATGCAATATACAGGTACACGTGCGCGTATTTTAATGGGGAAAAACACGATTCGTCTTTCATTGCATAACGTCTAGCTGAATATCTCACATTCTAACGAAATCTCGAAATAATTATTTCATTATATGCGGTGCGATGTTTACAGGCGATTGAGGGAATATTATGACACTAAAGCAACTTTTAAATGCATTGTCTCTTTTGGTATGAAAATGGTAACAGTTCAGAAAAAAACAACAGCCTTCTTATGATAATTCTCATATTCTCATTAGTACGTTGTATCTAATTACAGTGTCGGCATTATTTACAGGTGATTCTACAATACCTGCTCTCGGTCAATTACGATCTACCACACCTCGCGCGAATAAACAGTTATGCAGGTGTTGCTGTCGGCAAATACCTAGCCTGTATATGTATATTTTTTTTGTGGATACATGTATGACATATTTTCGTTGATATGTGGATATATTAAGCATAATGCAAAAAAAAAGTTTATGAAAGATGAATTAGTGCCTTGATATATTCAACGAGATGTGTATCGTCGTTTAATGGGTCATTCAATAAAAGTATGTTTGGAGGAGATATCAAAGGAGCCGCCCAATATACACAGTGTCGTCCGGTGAACTACCACCCCATCCTGTCCTGTGGTGTCAGTGTGGTAGGAGTTTGAATTACGTCCGCCACTGGCCACAGAGGTAATCCTCAAAGTATAGTAACAATCAACACGGTCAATGCCGTACTAATTACCTAGTGACGCGCGTAACAACGATTGTCAATCTGTCTGCTACAGCTACCATACCATCATCCCTGTCACAACTGGCATAACAACGGCTTATTCAAAATATTAATTGTAGAAACGTCTTTGAGAGACTAACGTATGTCGTATACACTCCTCATATTTGATAAAAAAAAAGTAAAAACGTCAACTGGGAAATCAACTGGATGTTACCTTCCTTATATCAGCTAACAGCCCTGTTTGTGAAAATATGTACTAGACATAAGATTTATAGACTAATAAAATCAATTGTAAGACCGCATAGACCATAAAACCGAATTAAATATGTCTTGGTATCATCTCTTGTGTATTAGATGATGGTAATGACCTGAAATGTTTTAACGTTAGATTAGGAAGGAGAGACATTAAAGTGTTTTATAATACTTGGGAACATGAGCAATAAGATGTAGCAACATAAACATGCATGGAATGGAATAGGGAAAATGGTGAAAACAAATTGAAAAGGATTTTAATACAAAATTATTGAATTAAATAACTTGCCTGAACACAAGGGGTACCCAAACTGTTATTCGGGTGTTGTAGACTGTCGAATGGGACTCATGTGTGTACGTGGGGTACACATATCTATTGCAAGTTTTAGTACTGATAAACTTTCTCTTTTTGTGTTGATATGATTTCTATTTTCGTACATGATATGATTTCATTTTTATCTTTGGCTGCTCTGTTTATATATGTTGGAGTAGTTGTCTGTCCCTCATAAATTGACATGGCTGCCTCGGTATTGCATCTCTTGACTACGGGAGATCTACAACATGTAGCGGATCTAACTGAAATTCTTGTTTTAACCAAGCCCGGGTTTGACATTCCAGTAACTGGATTCAGGTTGATTGCAAGATATGCATACCTCGTCATAGTGATTGTTGTGAATTCCTCAAAGTTTTGTTTGTTTGTTAGTTGTTTAACGCCGCACTTAGCAATATTTCAGCTATATGACGGCGGTCTGTAAATAATCGAGTCTGGACCAGACAATCCAGTGATTGACATCATGTGCATCGATCCACGCAATTGGGATACGGTGACATGCATCAACCAGGTCAGCGAACCTGACCACCCGATCCCGATAGTCGCCTCTTTCGACAAGCGCTGTCGCCCTTTTACGCCATGAATGGGTTGTTGAACACTTAGTGGCATTAGCCCAAACTCTTCCTGTCAGCATCCCCCCTCTCATTGAATCTGATACTCTTTAGCCATGATCTTATCAGTTGTTCCCCTGCTCCAGTGAAGCAGGCATGGGCAAAGTTTGGTCCAAGTCCAAGTTTGTTTACTTTAGGGCACTGATGGCACAGCTTGACACTCAAGGATTGAAACATAACACTCCAAGACAAAACAGTGAAACTACAGTGACCAAATCAACTCTTTGAAAAACGTTTTGGAGGTAATAATTATAATAAAGTGTCTATACACTGGAAACTGACATCCCTTGACCAATATTTTAATCATGTTCAATGTGGTAAGCATTTAAATATATTGGGTTTAAACCCAATTAGGCAATTCATTAGCCATTACTAATGATGGTAGTTTTGGGTTAGGCTCATACTCATAGGTATGTTAGTGGACTAACCCTTAGTCTATATAATTTTGATAGAAACCAATAACGCAAATAAATTGAAAAAGAGCCACACTGAGATGAGGGATTCAGCTTTTAGAAAATTTTACACTTGCTTCATGTTTTGGGGCTATACCATTTCAGTAAGGGG